CAAATATCATATCAATAACAGGTGTGGCGCTTCTACTTAATAGACTTTGGTGTGCTTGTCCTTGTTGTTCTCTCTCCTGTGCCATTCTGGCTCTTTCTTGTAGTTGTGCTTGAATGGATGCATTAGTAACATTGTCATCTCTTGGCGTCTCTGCTTCTATTGGGGTTGTGTCTCTACTCTGTTGCCTCATCCTTTCAACATGAACTGTTCCACCTCTTAAATTGTGTCTCAATAATAGTTATCTCATCTGTCTCTCTTGTATTCTGTTTTGTTGTTCCTTCAATACTTCAAATGCCAGGACTTGCTTTAAAAAATGTAGCCCTTCTGTCTGGAAGACTTCCAGTTAATTTTTCATTTTCTCCTATCAACCCTGCTATTTCATCATATGTTGGTCGCCTCTTCAATTCATATTTTGAATAAGGATTTATCATTTCCAATGCCATAGTTGCCATATATTAATATTTTAGGTAAACATGTTAATATATTTATGCAAAAAATAGGCCTTTAGGTTGCTTAATGCTGTGTTCTTTTGTGTTGTGCGGTAGGTTGTCTCTTTGGACTTCACCTCTCAACCTGTCCAGTTCATTTTGATAGTTTGACCTAGCATTTGCTTATATCATGTCCTTTCTTAATGCTACCATGCCATCTGTTGCATTTCTTAACTTAAGTTCCTTGTGTAAATGCTCCAGATAACTTGTATCTCTCATATCAAATGGACTAAAACTTATTAATGATTTGTGAAGATGTGCTTTAGTGCCTGTTTTGTTGTTGTGTTTATGATACTTAAACATTATTAATATATTTTGTTTTAGACAAATATATTAATAATTTAGACTTATTATTTTAATCGTATACCACAGACCCGCGTTCGCAAATTTCTAACACGCTTGCACTAATAAGGTGGGTAAAAACCTCTTGAATGTCTTCAGCATAAATTGCGTTAGTGCTATCACCGGGTGTAGTGTTTAGAGTTCCTTCAGTAGGGCGGATTTTCATAGTGATTAAACTACCCATTTTTGTGTTAACTCCAGTAAAGTTGACGTCAGCCATCTTTTCATGACATACCAATAATAAATGTGTTTTCTCTGTATTGCCTGTAACTGAAACTCAATGCATCTTGGCCCGGGTTCATGTAATTTATGGCTCTTCGCAAATAGTAGAAGGTTTCTGCATGATAATGATTGTGCCTCAAACTCTGGATACGTTTTGTTGCCTAACTGGATTTGCCACTATAAGTTTCTACCATAGTCTTGGAAACCTTTGCCTTGGTCTTGAGGATTTGCTACTGCTGCATTGTCCCAGATGAATGAGTTAATTTGAGAATTGTAAAAGTAGTTCCATCGCTTATGAACATAGTTGTCTGGTAAATAGTTAGCATTGATAGTTCCATTTCTTGGTGTTCTGTATAAAGTAATGAATGCTCCCGTGAGTTTGAATGATGACTTGACAATGTTCATATCCAGATCACCGCCTCCTGTGTTGAAGGTTTGTGTCAGTGTGTGATACATAGGAAAGACCAGTTTTAGTGACTGACCGTCCAACAAATGTTTTACTATGTTGTTATTAACAGTGTTGTCTAAAGTCATTACTTCAGCTCTGATAATAACATTGTTTAATTCCCACTGTGTAGAAGTGTTAGCTGCTTGAAAGTAATACCCCTGTTTGTCAGTTTGAGTGTTCGGGTTTCCTACTGCGCCTCCTTGTGGTTCTACAATAGGTACCAATTCATCATTAACAATTGTGAATTCTAATTCCAAAGGCGCATACCTCAAAGGTAAATAATAGTTTGATTGCATCAACCCGCAAACAGGCTTATGGCTGAATCGGGCTTTACCATTAGCGCCGGGAATTCCTGTCAATGAGTGTCTTGTATACTGTATCTTTTATCTATTCTACCCCATTCATTTTTAACACCGTCAGGGGATACAGTTACTACACCGGGGGTTGGAGTAACACCAGCAGTAGTAGCCTGCAATAATACATCCAAACCATTAGCATAGTCATGAAAGTCAGCGTCCCATCTTGGGTTAGCTGACATCTCTATGTCATCCATGTCTCTAACATACAACTCACAGTGTCTCTTGTATTCAACAATATTTCGATCCATTTGACCTCCTACTGTTGCTCTGTATCGTTGAATAAAGGCATGTAAGCCTCCTAATGGACGTAAGAAATGGTGTCTTGTTCGATCGTTATTTTGCAAAGTTGCAAACAACCTTACTGAACTCAAATCCAAATAGGTATTATCCTCTCCTGAAATGTAAAACCTGATGTTTTTCGCCCCCGCATTCGCATTAAATACGTTTGTGGTGCTACTAAAATAGTTTACAAATCGCCTGTTTGTAACATATTGTGAAGTTTCAGGTAATCCAAAGTTCAGGTAATCCAGGTCACCAGCTTAAAAACAGACATCAAACGAAGCGGTATCCATTTAGCAGAAAGGATTTCTATGTCCTTTTCCTTCAGGGAGTGCTCTGGTAAGGATGAGTCTGGTTCTATGTTGTCCTTTTTATCCAGGTTCTTTTACAAAACTTGTGGTTTTTTACTTTAACATTTCAAGGTAAAAAATCACAAGTTTGCGTCTGTATGTACTTTTTGATGATGGTTAAAAAGTATAAAGTATTGTTTTGCTTTGTGTGTGTCATGGTTTCGTGCAAATTACTTTTTTGTTAGGTCGATTTGCTTTGCTGGTCGTTTGTGGGAGTCTTATGGTTTTGCATGAAAAGTATGCTAAGGAGCCCTGGCGGCACATTGGTCTAAAAGTTCCCCACCACAGTGGGTGGGTGGGTGAGTGAGTGAGTGAGTGGGTGAATGAGCGAAGGGGTGAATGAGTGACTGAGTGTGAGTGAGTGAGTGAGTGAGCGAGTGAGTGAGTGAGTGCGTGCGTGCGTGCGTGCGTGATTGGTTGAGTGAGTGAGTGAGTGGTGGGTGAGTGAGCGAATGAGTGAATTGAATGAGTGACTGAATGAATGTGAGTGGGTGGGTGAGTGAGTGAGTGAGTGAATGAGTGAGCGAATGAGTGAGTGAATGAGTGAATGAGTCAATGAGTGAATGAGTGAATGAGAGTGAGAGTGAGTGTGGGTGAGAGTCATTGTGAGCGTGAGCGTGTGCGAGTGTGCGTGGGAGTGAGTGTGAGAGTGAGTGTCTGAGAGCACATCTGAAACGACGCGTCAGATAGCGCAGAATGCGTTGTGGAGGTGTTGAGGTCGAGAGTGTCAAGGTTCACAAAGTGCTGCGCCTGCCACGAAATCTGCACTTACAAGATTCACATGCGGCCGCCCTGACAAGGCGCTTCGCCAGCAAGAACGCTTCCAAAGACAACATACAAACACCAAAACGCAGCTTTCGCACGAGACTTCCTCGGATTTCTGAAAACGACCCACGTGTAGAACAGTTACGGTGCACTGTACTTGTCACGAAATTAGAGCGTCATCTTCGGCCACCATATCCAAAGTGCTGCGCCTGCCATGGCACTACGAGAGCGCAGTCAGGACAAGCACCCGCCGCGGCCAACCAGATTTTGCGAGCCTGCGCAGTCCAAATGCATTTCGAGGATTTCGAGAGGCATGAATGTACTGCAAATAGAAGCGAATTAGCCAAACGCCCCGGTGCAACACCTCGATTAGACACCGGCCCTTTACACCTACCGTAAGAACCCCTAGTGTGTCCACACTGTTTCGGGAACAATTCTCGGGTTCAAGTGACCTACTGACCTTCAAATTCATCAAAGGTGCTTATTTTCACCCTCCAAATGGTGCAAACCGTTTGTTTTCACCTCACTCATCGCAAGTCTGAGGCCAGTGAAGGAATGTGACAAATCAACTACAAGCTCCCTGCTTGCCCTGCTCGCCCTGCCCTTCCAAATCCGTTCATCCCTTCATCCGTCCAACGTCCTGTGGCTCCGGAGAACGTCCTCGGCCTTTGAGGCCGATTTTTGATGAAAAAAACACGTTTGCATGGAGCTGATGAAGCTAAATTGAAGGTTTTGGTTGTCAATTGTAGGCAACTGGAACACAGGAAACCACCGTCTCCCGACTCAGGAAACCACGACGATGGCCGTGGCTGCCTTCCCACATGTAGCTGAATGCTAACAGGAGTTGCCTAAAAGCAAGTGTGGCGGACAACACATCTCAAACTGGCAAACAATGTCCCTGGTCTGCTAGTTCAGCTTGTGTGACTCTTCTCAACAAGTGAATTGAAGAACCAGCATTGCATGCATGATCACTCGGCCAGAATCCAATGCAATCAAATGAGCATATTCCCTGATTGTGCTCTTCCCAATGATAAAACTGACTCGATATTCTTGTGATGCAACATGGATTCCAAGTGCCTGCAAGAATGCCGCCATGGCTGCAACACTCGTTGGCTCAGTGTGTTGTTGCAACGAGTGGACTGGTGACTTGCTGGTTGGTGATGCCCTGTAAAGCTCAATAGGCAAACACATTCCTTTAGCAGTCGGGGCTCACATCAGGCTGTGTCCCATGCTGATCTTGGAATCTATCTATCTATGTATATATATATATATATATATGTAGGCACGCACTTTCCCATGCTCCATGCTTCAAGTGACATGTACATGTCAGGTCATGAGACGCTTTCCCAGCAGAAAGGAACGCCGTGAATGCAACATTGGCCCATCACAGCAACGCATGCCACATTAGCTGAGAAACCAGAAACATCCACAAACTAATTGCAGAACCAACGAATCCTGTTCAACAAAAATCACACTTCATGGAAAGCCTCACCAAAGATTCACGCCAACCCTGAATGTTTTCCTGCAGGGCCGGAATCAAGTCCGTGCTGAAAGCATTCCTCTCAGCTCTTACCACAGGGTCCCCAAGGACGCAGCGCTCTTCACTTGCGACCGATTCTGCACTAGACAAATCTTGGAGCCATCAGCTTCAAGGTGTTGCCAAATCCTGTCACTAAATAAGTGCAAGGGCCCAATGCCGTAATTTAGGAGGTTTCCTTTCCTAGTCCTATAGACTGAGAATTGTGCGCCGGCTTCATAAACGCGATCTTGAGCCACCCTGAGGCTGTGCCAAACTATGCACACAATCTAGATGCACGTTCGTCAAACTTTGAAAGGATTGAAAAGGCCCGGGAACCAGGAGAGACCGGAGAGAGTGATTCTCCGTCTTTGATCTCCACTAAAACACGACCGGGCGTCTTTGATCTCGTCTCGGGGCTTTTCAGCTGTCTTCGACGAAGCCGCAGTTGCATGGCATGGAATTTGCCTTGGGTCGCAAGGATAAACCACGAACAGACGAACAACCACAACTGTTCACGGATGTCCGGCGGAAGCCGAACTAAAGTTGGGCTCACCAATGTCGCAGCACAGGGATGTAATTAGCCTATAAACCCCATGGTGTCTTCAAAGAGCCGCTTCAAGGATGGAGACTCTTGGAGGAGAAGCAATAGACTGCGACACACGGATTTCGCTATTAGGATGCTGATGTGGTCCCGAAGTCAACTTCACCTGGACACCCTTTGACGGTTTAACCGTCTTCACCGATCTTCACCCTCACCAGCTACTCTTGGCCATGTGACCCACCCGGGGCCGCTTCACGGGCGATTCAGCCTCCTTGGGCGATGTCTTTGTTCCACCTCAGTCAGGAGAGCAAGGTATTTGTAAGGTATGTATGTAAATAGATGTTATCATATTGACCTGCAAATGGAACCCCCCCCCGGTGCCTACAGTTCCTTTCCAACTCACCGCTTTTACAGTGTTGCTGCACCTCTGTATACGATAAGCATTGTTTCAAACATGAGAATGGCAAAACGGCAGAAAAGGTGGGTCCAGGGACGGGGGTTAAGATTTCTGCAAATTGGTCTGATGATATGGTGTATCATGTAACCAGGTATGTTTATTTAATTGAATGGAAGAGTTGTGAAGAATATCATACAGTCAAGCAGGGTCCCATCTGCCAGCCGCCGAACGAAGAAACAAGGCTCCACCATGTTCAAGGCCAACACCAGAGATCTGCGTCCGCAGTTCTGACCAAGAATCCAGCCGGTGACGAGATTGAACCAACCGGTCTAGATAAAACTTTGAGAATCCCTCTCTCCAGGGATGTAAGCTGCAGCTGGGGAGGCAGCGGGGGGTCCTCGGGTTGACTTGATTCGGCACCAGGTCTGCGGGGTAAACCCACCCAGCTCCAACGATTTTGTTTGGTCTAAGACGCTCCAGGGATGTGGTCTAACTGCTCGGTTCTCCTATTGCTTGGTTGGAGACGAAGCCTTCTTCTTGATTCTGTATAGCTGGGTAGAAGGTTGACTTCATAGATCTGATCTGGGTGTGTGTTCAGATTTTCTTTCTAAGATGTTTAACCATGACTCATCATGACTCTAAGCCAAGGATTCCCCTGATCACCTTCTATGAAATGCCCACTTGATAACTCCAAGATCTTGCTCGGATGAACAAAGCAACAAGGTAAACACGTTTCAGCCCCTCGGAAAACAGGTTCTCCGCTTTCACACCAAGCTCTGCACGTAAGCTGTGAGCACTCAAAGGTCGTCCCGGCAAAGCATTCAAGGTCTCAGTGACCAAAGTCCGGTCCGAGCCGAAACAAGGTTGGGAGCTCTGTCTCGGGAGCAAAGTTGCCTTGTCTCGGAACAAAGCACTTTAGTACATAACGACTTGTTTTTCATCTACTCATGCTACCAGGACGGGGGTCTTTGATCTCATCTTCAAACAGATTCAACAAGTACCAGCACCAGCCACAAAAAAACTTGCGAGTTCCACTTCCTTTGGTGCCCGGGCAGCACTGCGGGGCCTCCTTGGTTTGGTCATTCAACGACAGGTTTATACAGAGCGTGGGACGGTCTTCCCAAGATTTGCTGCTTCTCACGTGAGGTGGACATGAGCAAAGGTGAAAAAAGCATCCTTTCTGCTGACACACCACGTCTGAAAATTTGTCGTCACAACCAAGCAGCTCTTGCTCAGCAGTCAAATGCAGGCGCAAGGATGTTGCAGGCTGCCTGAGACTGATTAAATGTCAAGAGTTTGATGGAGTCTTCTGTTGGAAAAGGGGAAAGGAAACCAAGCTAAGTATATATATATAGCACCAATAGGACCCACAATAAATGGAGCGATGCTGAATGCGAACTTGAAAGACTTCACATGAATTCACGTTTTATTCATTGTCTGCAGAGTCAAAACATAGTGCTGCACAACATCAGGATTCCCCAAACCAGTTGTTCCTTTAAGTCAACAGTGCGGGGGGGATTCTTGCGGCTGTGCGACTGCTGTGCCAAGCTCTGTCGATCTGCCACAGCTTCATGCTTACCCTCCTCCCCTCTTTTTTGAATTGTGTTTGACCCCCCTGGTCATCCAATGGGTCACTAGGGCCTCGAACATAGATCAAACCCCATGACATGAGAGGTCCCACATCTTTCGGAGTTCTCCTGGTTTGAAGTACAGCTGGGACCTTCCACGAGAAACATTGCCACAAGTTGACATGTGACATGTGTTTTTCACCTCAAGTCTCTCGCTCTTGGTGGACAGGCGTGGACACTCAGTTGTGGTTGGATTGGGCTACGGCACGGCATCCAGGATACTCTGACTTGAGCATGTCTTGTTTGGTTTTGTTGATTATCGCTGCACGCTGCGTGCTCTGAAAATACTTATACTGTATAGTTCAAGTGATGCCCACTCTAAAAAGGCGACTTGGAAGACGGCAAAGTATATCCTGATAAATTCTGCATGACCTGTGCTGCACTGACACAATGTTCTGACTTTTGCTCTGACATCAATCAAGAGACTTCTGACACACTATCTAGCATAAAGGCAGGTTTTGGGAAATCAGTCCTGACATTCTTTTCTGGCATGTGCTCTGAAATTTGTCCTGCCGTCAATGTATCAAGTCCGGCAATCAATCTAGTTTGTGCTTCTTGCATACGTTCTGAAATTGTGTTCTGACATTTGTTCTGGCATTCATTCTGACATTTGATTGGGCATCATCTGTTCTAACATTAAGTCTGGCAGGGCATTTTTCGGACCAAGAGTCCAGCCCGCACCACTATGCAGCCCGAAGCGGCAGAAGTCCAGCGAGAAGCCAAACAAAAGGCCAGAGGAGGAGGACAAGGAGGCGGGAGGAAGGAGGATAAGGGCAAAGACCCTGACCTGGGTCCTCACTTGCGACTACACTGAGCACAACTCTTTTTGTAGGATCCCTTGTGACGACAACAGCGTCACCAGCATCATGGGTATGGTTAAATAAGTGCTACGAGAAAATCGGCGTCACAACCAACACGAAAAACGGCATCAGAAGCGAAACGCCTCACCCTTACCTGAGAGGTGAGGATAAGATCCTGCCACTCATCCTGCCACTCACTCCGAAAGCGCTTCGTTTCCCACAGGCGCCTTCTTTTTGACACACTAGGTCACTAGGTCCCTGACACCTCCCAAGTCGTGTGAAGCTCCTCCACCGCTTCCACGACAACATCCGATGCTTCGCTGAGGTCCTCCAAAGAAAGTCCTGGCTCACGAGATCCGACCGTCAAGATGCAGGATGCAAACCGAAGCAGTAGATCATCTAGACTTCTGGAAAAGTCCTCATTTGCGATATGAAACATGCCATGAACTCATCAAACCCAAATGAGGACAGAGCCCCTGGGGCCCCTAGTAGCATCCTTGCTCCTAGTAGCCATGCCAGGAGCCCCTAGGCCCTAGTGGCGTCCTTGCTATGAAACACTTCTTTGTCTCTGTGTCTGCAATTCTAGTTATGGCCGTGGTAATGCCTCACATTTCTCTCCCTGTGACACGATGGGACGACGCTGTCGTGACAGGTGACCCAAACCTGGCGATTGGGATCGAAGCAGTTTCAGCCATGGACCCGGTGTCCAACGGCCCAAGGAACTTCCTAGTAGCGTCCTTGCTCCGTTCGTTTTACGACCAGGAGCCCCGAACGTAGCGAACATTGTTCTGCCTAAACAACATATGGCATGCCAGGCATGCTTCTCACACTGTCCCTCTCAAACGGACAAGTTAGATAAGTCCTCCTTCGCTGTTCAGGATTGCCTCTCAAAGCAGCACGCCGGTCAACAGAAAATACCCAAAGTCGCCACAACAGATTTGTGGCTTTGTGGCCACAGGTTTGGCACGTCACTGCTTTGTCACGTCACTGCTTTGGCACGTATGATTCAGCTTCCCATCATGAGTCTTGTGTAGAATCAATCTCAATCCTAGTAACAAGGGCATCGCTACTAGTAGTAGCAAGAAGCTACTAGTAACAAGATGTTGATCCCGTTTCTGAAACATTCATTTGCTGGCCTCATCAGTGGTCTTCCTCGCCCGGTTGTAGTACATGTTGACGGTACTCTTTGGAGAGGTAAATGCATCTGCCAATTCTTCTCGATCTATTTCACCAGTATTTCCAGAATCCATCTGGCTGACAAGTTCCTGCACGGTGCAGTGCGCACATGAGCAACGGTCACAGCAGGATGGCGTCGCTAGCAAATCGTCAGCTGATTTTGATTCCAACGTGTTGCAAATCGTCAGGGTCCCGGACCCTTTGATGTGGAGCACCTGCTTGATACAACACTACCCATTTGAAATGGCTAGCCTTTAGTGAAGCGTCAACATGAAACGTACGTGTGTGTGTGTGTATATAGTTATATATGTATATACTACCAGTGTGCAGTTGAAAGAAGGGCAAGAAGAAGCACACAGATGTTGGATTGTTTGGGAACCCAAAGCTTTCCAACACGTTGGCATTACAACTTATTGCCGCACAATCATTATTCGTTATTCGTTCACTGCCGCATCAGTGCGCATCACGTGCGCATCAGTGCGCACCCCCAGGATCGACACTTAGAGTGATGCTCACTGACGGCATTCTTTGGCCATTGTGCTGTTCTTTAACCCTCAAAACCATTCAAACCAGGGTGAGTCGCAGCTTCAGCAGTCCTACAAAGTTGACTCAACAAAAGAGATCAAAAGTTTTGCTGTCTCCTGGACCTGTTCTTCTGGAACCTGGACCCCCAGCACATGGATGGCATCTGGCACAATACCTCGAAAGACATTGACATTCAAAAGACGGAGCCCCTCTCAATGTTGTCAGGACCTCATTGCATCCTATGTTCTCTAGTTAGAAGCAGTGAAAATCACTCTGCCGCAGCAGTGAAAATCGTTCAAGAACGGGAGCTAAGGGAAAGGATCGAAAAGGGTGCCGAACTCCAGTTTCGTTGGCGTTGAGTGTCCGAAAGTTGAGAGTGGTCCAGGCTAGCACAAATTGCAGTGTCGCAGGAGAAAAGTAGCCGCGACTCCGCTGCGACCGAGAAGAACTACGTGCCATCCTTCTCCCAAAGCACTAAACTCTGCATGGCTGCATGCTAGTTATTCTTCTAGATCAAAGTGAGATGACTCATGCATCACTTCTCCGATTTGGTTGACGGGAATGTGTGACGTATGGAAAAATACATCTGCGTATGGGTCACTGCTGGGGAGCTTGGGCGTTTGCTCCGGATTCATGGCATTCAGCAAATCAGTTGCATCCTTGGATCGAGGAACACCCCTTGGATCGTGTGGTCAGTGACCTCCGAAGGCATCAAAACAGAGTTCCGAACACACATGTACTCCTTGTAGACTTACGCAAGTGACCAAGGGCAAAAACATGTGACAGCTGAACCCACACCTCACCCTTGAAAGCGTACATCACAAAAGGAATACGTATCATCTGACCAATAACATTCACCTGAAAGAAACACAACCATGAAAAAGCAAGCAGCAAACTGACCTGGGTTTTGTTCTTTTTACTTTGACTGATGTTGAACCATCAATGTACCAAAGATCCACAACGATCCACATTTGTAGACAATTCCCTTCATATGCTTCTACCAATTTTATGTGTATCAGTCTTCCAGTCGGCACCGGGGACCCTGGAACAGGGGATCAGTCCAAGGTTTTTACGTGGAGAACCCGCTGCAAATGAGGAGCATTGATTTGGCTGCCTCGAAGCTTCCGAACTCCAGACTTGATGACTCGGCTGACCTGCCAAGGCAGGGTTCTTTGGAGTCCTCAAGCATTTCTGGATCGATCCTGAAAACTAGTACTGGAAATTACTGGAATATACTGGAATGTCTCAGGGAACTGTGTCCAAAGTGGCAAAGTCATTCAACGCATTGGACTCATTGGACTATCAAAAACTGTCCTCCTCTAGACTCTACAGATTTCGCAGCTGGCCTGCAACAGCACGCGACAAATACGTCCCATTTGCAGACAAAGCTCGTAGTCTGGCCTGTGCTGATTCATGCTCAATGTATGTCAGTTGACACGGCCCTGTAGGGTGTTCGGTTGGAGCCTTTGTTCTTTGACATGGATGGGGTTGAACTACAATTGATACCTCATGATGCTTTGATACTTCAAGGGAGCAATGCCCGAAGACAGCGACTACTCCAGAGCTCCACACGATGCGATCAGCACCATGGCACCGCCCTGGTCCGGTCCGCACTGCTCGTCGCACCTCTTGGCGGTGTCTGGCTGCCAAACTGGAAACTGCTGACAGAATTGATAAGACCTGCTCCGTCTCCATTGCTTGGCGTCCGAAAAGGTGTGGGGAATGTAGATACTGCCTGAGGCTCATGATGTCAGATGGAAGGAACAAGAAGAGAACAGGGGCCGAGGTTCATAATTGTAGGAGGCAAGTATCAAATATCACACAATTCTTGAAATCGTGTGTTCGACTGCATCACCTCACTGCCTCATCTGTGATTTGCCTTCTCGCACTGCTACTTGTTTGAGATTGTTTGTGCCGTACATGCATCCTTGCCTCATAAAGAGGGTCCTCTGAAACAAGGCACACCAATGGATTGCTAGAGTCAGTTGAATGTTGACCCACCAAAACAAATTGCCAAATCTCACTCACACAAGAATAATTACAGCATAACTTGGCAACCAAAAACTGGATAACTGGATATGCAAAATCCGGATCAATGATCAACAGAAATTGGTTACGTGTTTTTGGATACGTTGGTTTGTGTTGATCCTCAAGCACACTCCAATGGACGATACTTTGAAACCTGGACGCCTGGCTTTCTCAGATTGAGCTTAATCTCTCCCCGCTTTGGGGAGGCTTCTCGTATTGGCTCGTCCATGCGGAGCAGGGTGGCCAAATCCAGGTCGGTGGGGAGTGCTGGCGGCTCCGGTTCCTCCTCCGTGGTCGGCTCCTCAACATCCTGCACAGGCTGGACGAGGTCTTGGTGACCAATTTGGGGAACCGCTGTGATCCGCTCAGCAACTGCACTTGGTTATAGATATTTCCATAGACAATAACAACATAACCGTGAGATTCTACATATTCTACACTCTCCAGTGGTCGTTATGCATTATCCCTATTCTGATGGATGCCCATACAAATTTCGCGTCGAATGTAGACAAACATCCGTTGTCAGTTCAGTTCCAATGGATGGGAGTCAAAGTCAGGTTTGCAAATCATGATGTAGACAAATTTATAGTGCACATTTGTCGCTATATATATCGACTTTAATAGTTCCCTCTTTGCCAAACGGCCTTGTGGCAACGCCTACAAGAAGTGACAATTGAGAAGCGATAATGATTCACTCAGCATGCCCGATGCTTACTAGATCTTACTAGAAACTCTGCAGAATTCCCATGAGTTGGTCTTGAGCATACCAATCTGCGCATTTGGTTACATTCAACCTTGGCCGCCTTGGCCCCTGGTAGGATGTGATTCCTTACGACTGATTCTTTTACTTTCTGCAACGTTTCACCGAATTGGTGAAAGATTGATCGACCCGACTCACCGGCGGCGAGTCAGCGACCCGTGCCGCCGAATCACACGGGTGCCCATAGTCGTCCAGTACAACCCACTGTACAACCCATGCACTCACAGCTGACATCAATTTCACAGCTACTTTGATCACCCTGCGACCCTGCGTGATAGGGAATGCTTTCATTCCCAGTGTTTGGTAAATGAACACTGGCGCCTCCGAAGCGTTGTGCTTTCTCGGTCGATCGGCCGGTCGTCCTTGAGCCCTCGCTTCTCTCGCAGCAGCTCGGCCAAGGGCTTGATCGGTATGGGAGGTGGTGGGTCTCTGCGATGGGAGGCCAGCTGGGCTAAGTTGGGATGACAGCTCATCAAGAGTCGAGGAGGAATCAAGTAGCGATGCTCTCCTTAGGCCGAACCAAATGGTTGCTTGGGATCTCTCTGCCAACGTTTGGAATACCAGGGCCCCATGCCCATACTTGGTAGATAAATCGGCCCCTCTCCTTCGGCCGAGTGGCGGACGCCCAAGCCGGATAAATCCTGCTTGGCTTTTGCTGCTAGAGCTCTTTCTTCGATCTCTGCAAGTGCAAAGGACTCCCAAGACTCTTCCTCATGGCACAAGAAGGTGTTGTTTTAAAATGTGCTTGAACGGATTTCGCATATACTACTGTAAACACACACGGAAGATCACGGAAGTAGGTTCATCATGGTTCATCCAAGTGCACGTCCAAGCGTCTCGAGAAGATTCGACTGGCAAGAACCGATCACTAAGGAGGTTCTGAAGCTTTGTTGTCATCAATGAGCTCGGAATGAGGAGACAACTCATGCCATTGGAACATACCTGTCAGTTTGGATCACAAGTGGTCAAGAGTCAAGCAATTCCAAGGTGCTCATCTTTTTGACCCACCCCTTCCCTTTCCATTCATTCATTGCAGGACTTCCATGGGACAAGCGGTGCCTGCTGCAAAAACAAAGCGTTGGGCTAGGCGGCACTCCTCCATAACCCTCAAAGAATGATCAATCATACTTTACTTTTGCCTAAATGGATCTGGCTCCAGAACACGGAGTGTCTCGTGCGTGTTGGTACTTTAGAAAAAATGCTCCTAGCACATGTGTTCCAAATTCAGAGGTTCTATATAGTCTGAACAGTCCAGTCTGACCAACACGATCCGATCCATTGTCCGAAATTTGTCCTTGTCCTCCAAAGGGTGGGTCCGAATTTTATTCATTGTCCGAAATTTGAAGCTCCCAACATTTTTACCAAGCATTATTATGCCTATATCCTGTGATTGATACCTCTGATGCTTCTAGAGGAATTTCACAGCTAGAAACTGATAAATCAGGAGTAGTGTCGATTCTCTATAGAATAATGAGAAATCAGTGCTTGTATAAAATGACCCCTACAAGATGCAAACAGAAATGAAACTGCCAAAGTGGAATCCAAAACCATCATTTCATAGCACTACGAAATGATTCTTGAGGATACTATGAGCACACATCGTTAGGAAAATACAAGCCAATAGATCACACCTCAGATTTCCATCCGGCAGAGCAGGAGCATCTCATCGAATCACTTTGGGAAACAACCAGAAGGCCAGTGCATTTGTGATCATTTACGTGTTTCACTGTCGGATTCCATTCCTAGCCACTGGCTGCTTGCCAGTCGTTTTGCTAGGACTGTTGGAATGCTTCTTTTGGTGTCGAGTCTCAAGTTTGGAAGAGCTTGAGATTTGCAGGACGTGACGCATGGAGCAAAGTCCGTGCAAGGCATTTCGCTCGCTCGGAGAAGTGATGCGTTTTGACATCGAATCGCAGCTTTCAAAAGTAAGTTCAAGACACACATATTAAGATACTGCAAACGATTGGCCGAGAGTTTCCAAGAAAAACACATGACCAATATGATGTTGAAGAGCAGTCTTGGTGTGAGATTCTGGCATGTGTTCATTTTGTTCATATTGATTGGAAGTTGGTTCCACACATTTGTTTTGGCAGCAGGACTTGAAGGAGCAAGAATGGAATCACCACCTGAGGCAACCTGTTGCTTTATGTAGCCTCTCATTTCATTCCAAGTCACTAGCTGGTTGCCTGTCATTTTGCCGGGATGTCCATTCCTGTGTCCTTCTGGGCTTTGAGTCTCAGCCATTGGTGATTCACACGTGTTGTTGGTCTTGTCGTACATGTTTGAGAAACAGGTCTCATTTTCCTCATGAGCTCTGCTGTGCACAGTTTTGCTAAATAGAGACCTGACTGCAAACACATGTTGTGAATGTTGTACCATGGGATATTATAGGGCTACATTCTGGCTCTCTTCTGATTTTAGAACTTTGGTTTTGGAAGGGCTTTGGACTAACAAGATCTGAACAACATGAGTCATGAGACTCACTTTCAGGTGTATGACCTTTTGCTTGCTGCAGGACTCGCTGTAATAAGACAACGTCCTCTCCTCCAACGACGATAGTGGTAGCGACCGAGTCAAAACCTGAGGTTCAATGTGCCATCAATCTACTGTACTTAGATTGTAGATTGACCGTTGAAAGATTGGCTGACCAGCCAAGACAAATACAGCCCAAATACTTGTATGATTTCACGGGGCTGCACTGACTTGCATTCTGGTGTTCATTCAGGTTACAGTCTTGACTTCGGGCCCTTTGTAGGATTGGTGATCATTGGTGCCCAGGAAGTTGCCATTTAGATTGAGGTGAAAAGGAACACGGTTATTATGGTTCAATGGTTCATTCATTTGCAATTGTTGATATCTGTTGATTTTATTGTGGTCTGAAGGTCTCGGGATCCTACCATTGAAGTGGCACGCCGTGTGGCTTGACATCAATGAAGCTTGTGTGAGGGAAGCTGTTAGGGAGGCGGAGGATAGAACAAACCAGGTGAGCCTGGGATTTACGTTGGATGAGTTTGCAAATGAGAGCCTTCAAAGAGAGACTTGACAATGATGGCACTTAAAGGAGGAATCCCAGCAACTTCTGGGCATCCGTTTTGGATCGCAAACTACTCCGCCTTTGGATGAGGAATGAAATCCCAGCAACTTCTCAGCATGAATCCCTCCAAAAGATAACCCTGGCAGGTTCAACTTGTCCAAGAAGTTTGGCTACCGCAATACCATCACGATGGATCCTGACACCATCTCTGCTACGACAACAATCGTCGGTGCCTCCCATAAAATGCTGACCGAAAACCATTACTGCATTTCACATGACAAATCAAACGCATCATATGACAAATCATGACAAGTCAAACGCATCGGCATTTTTTAGGGGAGACAAATCCATGTCCGATCATTCGCCCGATGCACTGTGGAACCAAGCACCTCGCACCCGATAGTAAGGTCAAGTCTCCACGCAGCAAAATGTGTTTCAGAAAACGAACAAGAACTCCACCAAGGCTGTTCCAATGATTTGTTCCACTATGGAACTAACACGACATAAACATCTGGCATCATTTACTACAAGTCGGCGGCTAAGGTGCTCGATAGGAAAACCTCGATGGCCTGTTTTGCAAACAGCAAAGTACTCCAACTGTGTCTCCACTCTCGAGCTTTCCAACATTGACTACTTCGAAGGGTTCCGTCTCGCAGAACTCGCCCAGCGCTTGAACCTGCTGAATTTTTGTTGCCGCAAAACACCTTCAGAACGTACTGCAAAAAGAGTGCCTCATGGTGCCTCCGTGATTGCATACATTTGGATGTATATATATATATATATTATATACAATTGATACATATATATATATACACATATGTTTTTGTTGCTGAATTCCATTGAAATCCCCAAACTGTTTGTCAAACACTCTTCAAATAGCTTCGGCATGCTGTTACGGTACTTTTAATTCTTGCAGCATGACGTCTTTGTTCAGCATTTGCCATTAACTCACTTCGTATCACACATGTTTGGATTTGTTGTAAAATGTTGTAAACTTATTATTGGCTTGCTGATGTTGGTTCTGATTGGTTCTGTCTCTCCTTTCGCCCATCCGTCTCCTGCAAACAGCCCTCCAGCAGCAAATGGACGCCGGTCGGGATCTCACCGCTGCGCAGGATCACCTCATTCCGGTGGGCAAAATACTCGCGGCCCACCAAGGCACCGCTGCCGCAGGTGCTGAGCCGTCGTCTTAAAGCATCCGTCTTGGCATCGGTCATCCAAAGAAAACACACCAATTTCTGATCGGATCTCATCCAACTGTCTACTTTGTAACCGAAGGACTGCAAACTTGGGACAACTTGATGGAAGCATCAGTATTATTCGAAATAATATGAAATAATGCTTAGCTTAAGCTCACCATACTTCAGCAGGTGCGGTTTGAGTTCTGCTGTGTGCCTTTTTTTCGAGCAGCGTGGCTACAGGCTCCTGCCGCATTGCTACGCAAAACTACGCTGAGTCTAGGCTCATCTCCGTGTCCCGGCCGATTTTGGGGCTCACGTCTCGTCGATGACTCACCTATGGATCCTCCCAGCGCTCGCATTTTGTCAAAGCCGTGGACATTCGGACCTGGTTCTGACGGGCGATTTCGCCTGTTTTGCCACATCCAACTGGTCCATCGAACATTGCTTTATGAGCTGATCTCCCACCAGTTGTTAGTGGTGACCATGTGAAGGCGCGAATGGCGAATGCCGAGGACCGTGCAGGGTGCACAAATACGACGGGTCTGGCTAGTGGCTGAATGGCCAGAAAGTCAGGAAAACGACAAAGTGGGGCCGCAGCTTTGTCTAGAAAACAGTTGTCACCCTGTACTTCTCCCAGCTTCATCTTGTACAAGTCTAAGCAAAATCTATAAGCAACCTGGAAGACCCCAGACATGAGTTGCGACTACACGCCCACTCTGCAAGTGTCAAGACTTTGGTCTGGGGGTCGTGCACGGGCGTTCGGCAAATCTACCGGGGTTCTCCAGGGACTGGATTGAAGGCTCTTCACGGAGAAGGCCTGAATTCAAAAAATCACGCACGCTTGAGAGAAGGCCACCACGCTGACCTCCTCTTGAGTATGTTTCCTCTCACTGTTGCAGGTCACATCTTCATCAATGACCACATCCACCGTAGAGGCGCTGACACCCACGACTCGAGCCCATCCGCCATCGCCTCCCCAACGGGTCGATTGGCTCGCGACCGCCAAGGGACTTCCTGTCTCCAGCGTGGTGCCCAGGTCCAGGGTCTTCGGTCCATTGTCGACGCCTCTCACCACACGGGCGGACTTCAGAGCCACCATCGTTGCATCCCCTGCGCCAAGTCTGGCACAAAAATATATTCAGCTGTTGCCAAGTGTCGACATGTTTTGGTCTTCTGACCCAAAGCTCGGAGAGAAAACATGATAAAACACAATGAAACATCATCTCGAATCTTCATTGTCCTCTGACTCGGACTCTATCATTCATCTCATCTTCAAGTGAGAGCTCTGACAATGAGCTATCTTTATCTTTGCTGCTTTGCTCGGACGAGTCTACGCCTGTTTGAGCTGGAAGTGTGTGAATGCCTTGTTGGATGGCGATCCAGCCCACGTCCTCGTCCTGATTCACCTGCACGGACCAAGGTTCGACTGGTGGGTCGATCCAGCCCTCGTTCGGACTTGTGATGTCAGTTGATGTCAATCAACACATGGTTGTTTTGGGTTGGCCTCTTGAAAAGGCCTTTCTGTCACATTGAAGCTATTTCCAAAATCTAGAATCTAGGGAGTAACTGGGGTAGTGTTAAAAAGATTCAAAAAGGTTACAAGCTTGTATTCCACAACAGGAAAACATTTGCACAAGACCAATTCATCGTCCAGCAAAGCATCTGGTCAAGCCAATGCAAAGGCAAGCACAAAAGGCAACGAAATGAAGGTGTTGAGGCAATTAAGGTTCAATTCACTTTCGTTCTCAGTTCTCTCTGAGGGATGTAATGTGGCTGTAGACTGTTAGTAGTCCAACAAACAGCGCCAAGTGAATCAGTAGGGTTGCTGAAAACAACTGACTGGACTTTCGCTGTGCGCTGTTGGAGACATCAGTCCACATATATATATATATGTAACTATATCATATATGTACGTATAATATTTATGTTGTAAAAGTCAAGGCATCTCTGTCGACATAGGGCAGCACCTGTTGCAGGGGATATGTTGTATATACAAATAAATGTATAAATGTATATCTTCGAAGATTTGAGTTTCTGTTTGCTTTCGTCTACATGCCAGTGCCCATCGACAACCGGAACCAATACTCCCATACCTGACCATACTGACAAAAGCCATCTGCCTGAAAAAAGATCCCTTGCCCCAGAAAGAGTATGTAGATATATAATACCCTCAACCTAATAGCGATGGCCTCCAACATCCTCCAACTTAATAGCAATGGCCTCAACCCGAGCAGAAGTGGCCCTTTCGCGTGACGAAGGCACCTCAAGGGCCCCGTAGCTGGTTGTCTCAGCCATCTCCAAGGCGACCTGGGGACGTCAGGGTGACGAGGTGATTCACGTGACAGTCTTGTAGATGAAATCAACAATTTGATACACTTTGATCATTTTGGCTGGTGCTCTTCGAAGTCTTCATTCAATCTTGATGTTTCTTTCTCTTGCTAAAGACATCTAAAGACCCCACGGATGACATCTCTAGGGCATGAAATCTGGACTTGTCTGAGTCTTCGGCCCAAACACTATCACTGTAGACAGCATTCACAGCAACCTGAGTGGCGAAGCAAGATACTTCATGCTTCTTGGAACAAGTAGGTGATCTATCCAAGCAACTGTAAACCACGGCTGTGAGTTGGATGGCAAGCCTTTCTCATTCCTCAGCGTCTGAATGGTGGTCAAGAGGGCCGGAGGCTCCATGAAGGTGTGTGCAAAAGGAGCTTGCTTCCAGGAACCAGATGCGAGTCCTCAATTCGTGGCTCAAAAGGGCCTCCAATCAGAAGTATGTACATATATGGACCTATGCTCATCTGAGGACCATGCGGCTTGCATCCGCTTGCCAAACAAAAAAACGGGTGCCTGTGGGAATACGATGCATCCTTTTTAGCACAGTGATACGATTCATCAATCAATTGGTGGAAAGGCAAGGAAAACTACAAAGCCCCAGGGGCTAGTGTCTAGTCTTGCTCGCACTATCCTTCACCCCTTCTGGCTCAACTTCACCCCCACAGTCTCACGTAACAAAGGGACGTAACGGCATCTCTACGAACGGAGCGAGCAAGGACGCTACGAACGGGGCGCTCCTGGCCTTACTATATGGTACATACTAGTACGACCCAACCGAGTAGCAAGAAGCTAGTAGTAAAACATTTAACATCATTTAACGACATCTTACAAACCATGACCTAATTACTGCTCTCCACCCAGGCTTACTCACTTTCTTATCTGCATGACGGTTACCCCATCACTGTATTCGGTTGGGCAACCACCAACTCGCAGACGCGCTGGATCTGTAAGCTTGGCCCACCGATGAGACAGCCGAGGATCCAGAAGCTTTGCATTTGCTGCCAAACTTCAAGCTCTGCGTGCTGATGCGACCGGCTTCGAGCCAAGCGCTGGTTCCAAGCTGGCGAGCGCCGGGCAAAGTGGCCAAGAAGCTCACGGTCATGCTCTCACCTCGACAAAGCAATCTTCTGAACCACAAGTTCGAAATATTTATAATTGTATTTGTTCAACCATGCCCTGATCCGCTTCATAGATCGCTCTTTGGTGTGAAATCCTAGATGACTAGGAAGTCTTACAGTGGCTCAGCAAGGACTTGCGGAGCCAAAGGATTGCACCACCCGAGGTGGGACTCCAAAATTTCAGCACCCCATCTGTTCATCCCACCTGGTGCCACCGTGTTCAAGGGTGGCTTGGCGATGATCGCAGAGAAACTAGTGGTGGTGATATCCTTGATGCGGACGTTGGCAGGATCAACGCCCGTGGATGGGGCGATGACCACCACGGGCACTTCGCCAAAGGTTTCCGTGAAGGCCACGCTGGTCCACTCGGCGGTATGGACGGTGATGTCCCGAATTTCCAAGGAGGCGGTCGCAGGAATCGTGGTGGACATGGTTGTTGTGGTACCAATAGTGGTGCTTGCGGTTGCTGTTGTGGTGGTGGTGGTGGTGGTGGTGGTTGTGGTCGTGGTCGTGGTGGTGGTGGTGGTCGTGGTGGTGGTGGTGGTCGTGGTAGTTGTGGTGGTGGTGGTCGTCGTCGTTGTCGTCATTATTGTGGTGGTAGTTGTGGTAGTGGTTGTGGTAGTAGTTGTGGATATGGTTGTGGTTGTGGTAGTAGTTGTGGCAATGGTTGTGGTTGTGGTCGTGGTTAGTGGCGGCAAGTCCACGGAACCAGACCAAGCGATAAGGCCGGCTTGCTCTTGGGTGTGGCTTCTCTCCGTGTCGCAATGAAGATCTTCCTCGATGAACAGGGTTGCTGAGGTGGAAGTGGCCCCTGCGAGACGGAGCCAACCTCCATCACCTCCATTTCGAGTGGTCATTCCCCCCACGATCAGTGGAGATGTTGCCAGAACGTCGGTAAAGGACACGTCAACTGCCCCGTTGTCATAACCTGGCACGACAGTGCCGGTCAACAAGGCGCTATAGCGGATCTCTTCCAGATTCTGTGCAAACAAACCTGAGCCCGACTCCATAGCCACATAGCCCACACTCTCAGCTTGAGTGACGGATCCCACATTTGTTGTCTCAGCTGACTCCAACGCCAACGAAGCCGAAGATGCTGTCAATGTCACACATGCGGCTGTGAGCCAAGGACTTGAGTAAGAACTTGGTAGATTCCCTGCTTCGTTGTTGGCAGTCTGAATCGTTGACACAAACACTGGAGCTGTTGAATAGCTGTCCCAGAACGGAACGGATGTCACAGATTTGGAAAGGCCGGCCGGAGCACACTTGCTGGTCGAAAACTGCTGACTGGTGATATCCAGGCGGTCTGCTTCAAATTTGCGGCCATCTGGCAAGAGGTGCGTTCCTCTCAACACTGCCATGTAGGCGACGAGCATGGCAGGATGGTTCCCAGCTCCAGTTGGTGGGACAACCTGACACAAATTCACGTCTCCTTCGGGTCTCCCGAACCGACCCCTACTTGGTACTTAAGTCGCGCCCAAAGGAAGAATCACCAGTTATAGATGGCCTACTAGCGATGTAACACCCCTACGTTGGCCCATCCAAGCAACCACCAACGCTTGGAAACTTGAGACGGTGACGTCCTTGATCCGCACCGCCGCTGGGCTGCCAGAACCCATGGGCAAAAGCACGATCACCGGCGGCTCTTGGAACGTATTCCGCAAGGAGATGGTCATCCAGGCTGTTCCTCCCGTTGAAAACTGACGTATGTGGCACTGACCTACGAGGTTTCAAGTGGTTTCGAGCGGAAGGTGACAAAGTCACATGAACTTGACATGTGTCATTCTCCCTGCTCGTTTTCTTACCCACACAATCTATATAAATCCTTTGCAATAAGAGAAGCATCTACTAATATATATATGTATATAAACAATGATACAACCATGTCAGGTCGACATAACTGTGGCTGAAATCTCGTCCTGTGGCTGACATCTCACCCACTTCCAGGATTGGTCCAGTCACCTCACGTTTCACACCGCTTTTGAGGCGGACATGAAGGCCGGGCCTGAAAAACAGTTCACAACCCAGGCTTCTGATGCTGATGTCTGAAAATATGATCATCATGGGAATCATCAGTGCAGCAATCAGTGCGGTATAGTACCGTCCCGAACAACATGCAACAGTCTTGAGTTTGGGTGTCCCTTTTGGAAGGAATCACCAGTCAGCCATGTTGCTGGTGGTGGAGGTGGTCGAGCTGTCGTGGTCGTCATCGTCGTCGTGGTTGTTGTTGTTGTTGTCGTCGTTGTTGTTGTTGCTGCGGTTGTGGTCGTGGTCGTGGTCATTGTGGTGGTTGCTGTAGTCCCGCCAATGAGCCTGGGGATACAGTTCCACGGTTGTCACCAAAACATATCGACTTGCACGGGAGAACAACTTCTGCCTCAACGTCATGACTTCGAGTAGCATATTGCTTCTATCCATTGTCTCAAACTGTTCGATTGCAGATTCCTCTGTTTTTGACCCCCCACACATCTTGGACAAACTCCCAAAGCTCCTGCATCGATATGCATCTTTGGCTTGTTTGACGTCCCCCTCAGAGAACTCCTTTCGGTTGCCCACGAGGCTATTTGCTGATGAGGGTATGGTGTTGAAGTAGTAGCCTGAGAACGCAGCCAAATGATGCAACCCGATATTTGGAGATCACGGGGCATTCACAAAAAACAAATACAGTGGGAAACATTATTACTAATATATATGTTTTTAGAACAAGTATATGTTCGCATATTATTAACTTGATGGGCGCTGACTTGGGCCCCCCTGAAGAGAAGTGCAACATTGCTTTGACAATTACAATGAGGATGCTCAAACGTCTTCTCAAATGTTCCATGAAATGTACCTCACCAACAACCTTCGAGCAGGTACTCCTCCTCCTACTATTCCTTGCATCATGACCGAATCATTGCTGACACACTTAGGTTCCAACCCTCCTTCTAGCAACACCTGTTTATTAATCAGAAATCTTGTATATATGTACAATTCTCTTCCAAGATCATTTGCACTCATAGCTCTGAACATGCCATGTCGATACATCCACAGAAGGACCCCTTGCTCATAAATGTTGCTTTGTATGAAGCGATCTACGAGAAAACATGTGGTCTTGGAGTCTTGCATTTGGATAATACACGACAATACGTTCTCTTGAAGACATTCTTTTAAGACACTTGCATCTAGGTCGAAAGCAGGAATTTTCCTCAAGTTCTTGAACCTGAGCGGCAAACCTTTGTGGAAGGATAGTGCATGTAGATAGCTTTATAAAGACTGCTTTGAGCAGTGATGTTTCACATTGGTTTCCTGAGAGGGTGAACTTTTGTAGGAAAGTGTTATATAAGTATGCCTTCAAGTGCAAATGCCTCTCCACACGTTTGGTTGCTTCTTAGTATAGACTAAGGAGTCTCTAGACTCTAAACGTTGTCATGCATATAGGTGTCTTTCAATAGTTTTGCACATTGTTTGTCTTTCTCATACTTGACGAACAAGCAAAAACAGCAAAGAAGGCTCAAGCAACAAAAACAAGTTGAAAACCACATAAAAACGATTCTAATTGAAAAGCTGCCCTACAATATATTACACTGATCGATTGGCCAATGTATTAAAGCACATTACGGTTCAATTCTCAAGCACACTACCTGTTTCCAATTTTGTGTCCACCTATTCTATGTGGGGCCACACCGAACAGTCTATGTGGACGGTCCGACCGTTTGCTTCGCCCCTAAGTCCCGTCGTCTTCCCAAGACAACTTCACAGCACCTAGTAACCATTGTTGATCGTGCTGCTAGAGTTCCTTTGTCGGTAGTAGTGCATGATGCTCTCCTGTCGGATGACCAACGACGAAGTGACAAAAAGACACATGCATTTGAGACACTGGGGGAGTCCACCATCCTAGAAGTGTCTGGCTAGTAGGGTAGGCTATAGGGCTTATGGTGCAACTTGGTGGTAGGATGCTACTGCAAATTGCAGGCATATATAAACCAATTACCCTCACTCTCCTCTTGCAGCTCCCCTGCGGTAGTAAGAAATCAACATGTCGTGCCTTCATACCGAGAATCAGCAGCTGAATTTCACGATATACAATATTGATTGTAAAGATATTCGAAACTTTGCAAATTATGGATCTACTTCAGCGGGAACTTGGCCCATCAAATTCCTGTCTCATTGCTCTCTGGTTGCTTGGGGAGAAAGGATCCTGGCAAGGCGAGGCGAGTACTGGCTTGACTTCGATTTCCCGCTGGCCAAGTAGGACATTTACATGTGTCTCAGGTCGACTAATTCCACCTCACCAACGTCGAAGGTCCAAAATGCAAAATCCAAGTGTCAAAGTCGTAGGCAGCATAACCAATCTGAGGATCATCACCACCATCATTGGCTGAGCCAATGTAAGTGTTTACTGCTGGAGTGTATTGAGATTTCCAAGTGCCGGTGTTCTCCCAGAACATCTCCAAGTGTGGCCCCTTCCCATAGTACTCTTGCGAACCATCAGCGCGCTTTTGCTCATGATTCACTCCCAATCCTCAGTGCGTCAACTTTGCGCATCCCTCCGAGCTTTCTTTCCAGGTCAAGAATGATTTGCCAATGTGTATCAAACAACATATTTCCTGGGCAATGAGTGCATGGAAAGAAAACTACAACAGCTCAAAAATAATACTATATACTATATCAAAGGTGGCACACCAGCACAAAGCGGCAGAACAGCATAGTACATATATAATAGTACCAGCAATTTGTAATCTTTTTAAGCAATCAAATCAAATCAATGCAACGTAGATTAAAAGTCATCATGGTAAGCAGCTGAAAACGCCTTTGGTGCTGGACGAATTTCCCACCCAATGAACCATCAATCTCGAAGATCAACTTTGACAAAGACAGGACTAAGCAAAAGCGTGACAAACTTGCAAACACAATCTCTGGCCAAACATCACAAACAATTCCGGACCAAGAGCTGTGCACGTTCGGAAGAGAGCGTTTGTGGACAAAACCCTCACCATAAGTAAGACAGTAAGCACAGCCCACAATAGGAGAACAAGGGCACAAATAACATCTAATAACTGATGGATTTGAATGGATTTGATGATGTTTGAAGCATCATGAAGAAATGTCAAATAGTGTCTGGGTAATCCTGCATGCTTCATCTGCCAGGTTTCCGTGTCCGATCTCGTGAACCATGGATCCCTTGTGATTCATGTTCTTACACCATCCCAAGTTGATCTTGCCGTAGCTTGAGGGCCGGCCCAAATTGGCCCAACAGCTGCCAGTGTTGTAGATGCCAACCAGAATGTAGGGGTAAGCCTTTGACTGGAAGCCGAACTCGTGTGGCACAGCCCAGCTATTGGTCTTTGCAAAGGAACCACCAAAGAATCGAGGAAGACCGCAGGAAACATGGACTCTTGACCAGTATTGGGATCCAGTGGGTTTGGCTGCTACCAGCCGTAGCACAACCAACTGGGGCGAAAAACAATATCAACAATTGCACAGTCTCGATGGCTACTATCAAACTGTGCTCACAAACCAGCACTTGTCCATGGCATACTTGCTAGAGCAAACTCAAGTCAATGTATATACTATATTGCCGTATATAATATATGTGTATATATATATTTATTTATATATATATAATACTATATTACTGTATAAACTAAAAATCATAGAGGGGAAACGGCTGCCTGCAGCTGCAACGGGACCTTGCAAGATCTTGACAAAGGATAGTCTTTCTGAATATCCAGTTCCTTTCCAAAGACTGCTCTGTGTTCATCAAACTGTTGTATAAGGTGGCACCCAACAATCAATAAAACTCCCGGCACAAACGGAAAGGAAAGAAAAAGGTATGTATGTATGTATCTATCTATCTATCTATTTATCTATCTATGTATCTATGTATCTATCTATCTATCTATCTATCCTATCTATCCTATCTATCCTATCTATCCTATCTATCCTATCTATCCTATCTATCCTATCCATCCTATCCATCCTATCTATTCTATCTATCCTATCTATCTAATCTAATCTAATCTAATCTAATCTATATATCTACAGTATCTATCTCTGTATGTACGATGATATGACATTCTTTTAGGCGGCTTTATATGCACAAATATTCACAGTCTGAAAAAACACATTCCTTTATATGGAGCAAAGAGACGGCATTCTCATCCTCCACAACCGCCACGCAGGTGTGGAGCCGCCACTCGGCGGCCGCAGCGCGGAAGGCCTCCTTCCGGGTGTCGTCCACGTCCACGTCGAACTTGTAGCGCACCATCACATACCTGGAAAGGTGGATCAACGAAACGAAGTGGCCTCCGACAATCTAGTAGCATCCTTGCTACTAGTAATGGCCTCCAACCTAATAGCCACTAATAGCCATGGCCTCCACCGTGCGTAGCGTCCTTGCTACCTTTTGCAAGGATTTGATTCTTGATGCTGTGCCGTTTTTGTAGCTGCTCTATCTCATCAAACCCGATCTCAACCAGTAAGTTGTTAGTCTCTTCCAGAATCTTCCAGACCTCGTGCTTTCGAACATGATCCTGTCTGGTCTCCACTCCAGCCCTCCAGCCCTACCTGTTTTGGCCCAGGGCGCTCTTCCCACTGCGGCACCATGCCCTCTGGAGCCACACCGGTGCGTTCGATCCATGGCCGGCCCGCTTGGCATCCGTCGGCGTCATCGCACGGGCGGTCCCAACGGGGATCTTCCACCTGAGAAGTGACATTTGGAACTCCGGACGCCACGGAAAACCCGCCCCTTTTTGGTGGCCCAAAAGTCCATGAAGGACTGAATCAAGTTGTTTTTTCGATGTTGTTCTGAACCCCGTTTTCTCAGGTTTCCCGCTTGGTTTTCACTGGTACTTCCATGCCGACTTGGTGGAGGACATTACAACGAGGTTTATGTCTCCATTTGTGGCGTTGATGGTGGTGCATGCGAAAACATCTGTTGGAGAGAAGCTCACCTGCCGCTTGGCATCCTGCAAGAAGGCCCCCTCTTGAGAGTCTGGCTGTCCATCCTCTTCTTGTTCCTCACTGATATGTTTTCCGTGCACAATGGAGTCCACATAGATGGTGTTGCCAGCATTCCTGGGACTTCAGCATGTTTCAACTGTAGTCTTGATCTAACCCAAAACCACAAAGTGCATACACATTTTTTTGGGGGGTCAGGTCATGTCAGGTCGCAAAATAACATAAATCGACCATGCTTCAACATCAGCAAGTGCTCTGGCACCGAGCCTCCAGAGATGAAGGGGCCAAGCCATCGATAGACTCGCACAGGACATGCCTGATCTGTAAGGCAGCTACTCAATGGAGCTGGCAATTGTAAATGTCCTGGAGGTGCGGACTTCTCGCCCCAAACGCCTTTGTTGAGGCGTGATGCACCGCAGCGGCACTCCTCACCCTGCACCAAGGCAAAAAGGTCTAGTCCAGCTCCAAGACAGAACTCAAAGCAGGTTTCGGCACTCATTGCACCACTGGTCATCCGCACACGGTAGAACCTGGAGTTCAGGCGACGATAAAAACTGAGAATATTCCCAGGGTTGTGTGCGTGGCGATTTGCAACAACAAGGTGGACCCTAAAGTTTACCCTCAAGACCTCTAGCTTGTCTACAAAAGACCTCTCTCAATGTGGGTGGCTCAAACAACACGTACCTTGCACCAAAAGCCTAAGTACAGAGAACACAGTTACGCTCTGGCTCTGGATGCCGAAATGTTGTTTTTGAGAAGTCATGCCTCAATATCCGCCCAATGGACGGAACACCATGGCAGGCTGATGCCGACACGTGATGTTCATGGAGGTTTTCCCTCCACCAATGGAACGCGAGCGATCGAAGTGACCAGTTTCCATGTGCTTGGTCCATGGACAAGTACGCTGCTACGGACTATATCAATTGACCACCTTACCACCTAACCACCCTCCTTGTTTTGCAAGCTGGGTTGAGTCAATGATAAGTTCACGACAAGCTTATACATCCAGTTGCAATATGTAACAATTATAGTAACACTGTAACCTTGTTATCTTCGCTGACTTCTTTCAGGCAGATCTCCAGCACCCGAACACAATCTCCTCAACTCCCATCTTGCACCAAGCGTCGGCATCCCACTGCGGCACGGCGCATTGGACGGCGCCCAGTCGATGCAGGTCTCATCCGCCGCCACGGCCGGCGGAGCGACGAGCTCCTCGCCGGGGCCTCGCCGTCAGTGATCAGGTGTGAGATGGTGTGAGCCCAATCCCACAACCTGCTTGTCTTGAGGGTTTCTACTCAGGCTGCGTCTTAAACCGGGTATCTTTTCAGTTTGTTGTAGGTGTCACTGCTCAATTGATATTCAGTTCTCCGATTGACATGAATTGATTTGGTGTGAGTTCTAGCTCACCTTCCAAACCACCAACACCCCCTGTATGTCATACAACATGACCAAGGGCCCCGCCCTAACTTCATTTTTATGCCTTTTTGAGCGTACGAGTACCAACGATCTATCCACAAGTCATGCAACCGACTTGGGCTTTTGATGCGGTGAGGTGGCTGAACAAATCGTGAAAGAACATCAAGTCTGATGCCTGCCTAGAGGGAAGCAGCCGACGCACTCGAAGTCGCTGTCACGCTCTTCTCCAATTTCAGTGTTGCTATCTCGGATCAAAGTGGTGGAGAGGGATTCACAGCTAAGGTCAGTGGGAAAAAAACAATCCTTTTTTGCAGATTGGGTCCAATTTAAATTAATGCTTGTTTCCAGATCCCAATCTTGCGGCAGTTCACCCGAGTTACCTGTGCATTCTGCTGAGGTTTGTGCCTGGTTCATCATCATTATCCAAATCTGTGTCAGGTTGACAATCTGGTTTGCAGGATAGAACTCCACAATGGCATCTCCTGCCGTTTCATGGCTCTGCGTTGACGTCATTGTCGCCATCTCAAAACAGGTCCGCATTCGAAGATGATACGAGACACGCTGTCCCTTCATGTGCAATGAAAACCAATGCATGCCTCATTGCTAGGATCACACCTGTGCACCGCTCACCCCGAACCAAAAAAATGTTCATCAATAATAACTCATTTTTCAGCCGGGAAAAGAGATTATCTTCTTTGCCTATGTCTCTGACTCTTTATGACTCTCCAAGGTTGAAACGCTGACGGATTTCCTTAACCTCGGCCGTCGCGGACCCTCTTGAACCCCATCTACCCATCCAAGCCATCAAATGCCACCAGAACCTACGGACCGACTGACCAACATCAGCCGTCCTGAACGCCTTTGGCTTGACCAAATGCTCACAGCGCCAGGCGAGCAACGGTTGTTCCTCCAAGGACATACACCGCACCGTTCGCTTCTGGTACGCAGGATTCAGACCACCGAAGCGCCTGAAATGGGAAAGCGGGTGAAAGGCACACTCGAACAGCAACAGCTCTTTCTGCCATGAAGATCATGATTTCTCAACTGTCTGACGTTGGGAAGAAACCACATCAAATCCAAGCGTTGCACACTTCGTCTGAGAAACCTTCGTGGGGCACCTCTATACACCACTTTCCTCTCAGTTTTGGTATGCTTTGGTACGCATGCATACATGCACATTCGAGTGCAATTCGCTGCTTGAGTGTTGCATTGTGGTGGTACTATAAGTTAACTCAACAGCTTTCATGGTGCAGGCCTGTGGCTTGTCAAACGGCATAAAGTATTAACTAAAACTAAAACAGAAACCAACAAACAAACAATCCTTAGCTTGGATACCCAAATCAGCTGTGGCCGCCCTTGCCATAATGAACTGTTTTTTGTGTCCTCTTGACTCATCCGGCTGTAGTCCGCCAGATCTACAGTCTCTGGTTTTCTTGTGAGCGAACCTGTGCCCAAGGTGTACGGAAAATTTCCTACTTTGGAAATACATCGATTGTAGCCCACGGAAGAACAGCCCATATATGGGCAGTCTCAAACAGCCTTCCAAGGCACCTTTGTCCCGGACAAGCACGTTTGCAGTCCCCGAAGGCTTCAGCCACCCAAGCGCTGGGAATTTCAAAGTGTCCACTAACATTGGAGCGGGAGCGATACCTCAGCTATCCAAAGCGGGGCAGTCCAAGTCTTTAAAACGGAACCATGTTCAGCGGGCCAAGAGGCTGGATGAAGGCATTGCCACCACTTGATGGGCAATTTGGTTCGGTATTCGCTCCTGAAGCACTCAACCAATCAGTGCACAAAAAAAATACAAACACAACAATCAATGCGTTTTAGTACATATTTCTTTTTGTCAGTTTATTTCCCCTGCGTAATTTCCCCTGCGTAATTATTCCAATGTCCTCCCTCTACAGCAAACAATCGATGTAGTAGTAGTAGCGGCAGCAGTAAAAGTAGTAGTAGTAGTAGTAGTAGTAGTAGTAGTAGTAGTACTAGTAGTAGTAGTACTAGTAGTAGTACTAGTAGTAGTACTAGTAGTAGTACTAGTAGTAGTAGTACTAGTAGTAGTAGTAGTAGTAGTAGTAGTAGTTGGCCCACGACTGATAGACGCCCGTGGTGTTTTCTTGCATTTTTATTTGTGAGCTGAAACACGCTCTTGTTTCTTGAGCCAAACGTGTACAGCAGTCGTTGCTGTAAGCTGTTCGTTTTGAACGTTTGGGACGTGGGAGATGCCCTTTTTTGGATTCACACTCCCCCTGCGGCGCATGCCGTATCATCCCATAGCCACCTGGTCTTTGACCAGGAAAAAGCTAAAGCCGCACCACCTTCCGTGGATGTTCGGCAGGCTGTCCTTCCTCCAGTCTGCATCCACGTAGATGAGCCGGTTGCCGAAGGTCATCGTCGACAGATCCAGGACCCTAGGCCACGGTCACACGAAGGTACTCCAGCGACCTCAGGTCCTCTGGCGTTGATCCATGCTCCTGGTGGAATCTTTGCACTCGTAAGCTGCGCCGGCGTGTCAACCATGTGGCTGATGGAAACCGTAAGTATAGTCCCACGCGTCCGTGCGTGGAATTGGTCGGAATTTCGTCGCTTCCTCATCCACCACAAACTGCACCTTGTCGAAAAGGATTTGGTTCCACCACACCGATGGCTGCAGCGTCAACGTATCCTCTTCTCCCCCATACGGAGGAATCAGCCGCGGAGCTTGGGGCCAGTGCGGCCGTTCCCAAGGGTTCTCATAGCCCCGATGTGGATCTTCTCCAGGTTCCACAGGTGGGCGAGGCATCGCCATATGTTTTGGCGTTTCTACCCACGGTGGCGGCTCATCACGCCAGGCAGATGCCAATGACATAGGCCGTGATGAAGACCCTCCATAGCCCTTCGCCGTTGTCATACTTTTTGATGAAGTCCCCATAGCTGCGGCGCCCCGAGCTGCAGCGCTGCGGCACCCCGAGCTGCAGCTTTTCCTCCTGTATCTTCTCGCAACCATGCTGGCGGGCTTTTCCAGGATGTTGTGTCTCCCCCGATCCAAGGTTGGCATTGGTGTCCGACACATGTTGCATGTATTTAGGCAGCACCGGAGGAGGTTTTGCAGGCGGACTTTGCCCAATTGGGATCTCCTTCGGGAGGATCGGCGGAGCCTTCGCTGGCGGTGCTCGGACAGACCAACCGGACTCTTCCCAACTTCTTGTTCCCGTTGAAGACGATGCCGAAGTTCCGCCTTCCTTGTAGCCGAGGTTTCCGGTCTCGCCTCCACCCCCGCTGAAGCGAAGTTGAATCTTGCCCCAAATGCCATGGCGCACACTCGACGTTTCTAGCTCTACAAAGGAAGCCTCAAGGCTACCGTTAGGATCAGATGGTCCCGATATACCCCTTCTGACCCTTGCGTAGTTACGTAGTTTCGAACATGCTTCGAAATCAGCATTTCGCCTCAGCGAAACTCTCATTTCAAGCAAATCTGCTTGGAATTGACCATGATATTCCACTGATGAAACGTTGGGCACATCATTCCTAATGGAAATACGCACATTTCGACATGATTAGCCCACGACCATCATTCATTTACACCACGGCCGTCTATCCGCCGTGTACCTAGTTAGTAGTAGTTAGTAGTTAGTAGTAGGTAGTAGTAGGTAGTAGGTAGTAGTAGGTAGTAGTAGGTAGTAGTAGTAATAGTAGTAGTAGTAGTAGGAGGAGGAGTAGTAGTAGTAGTGGAAGTAGAAGTGGAAGTAGAAGTCGTAGTAGTAGTAGTAGTAGTAGTAGTAGTAGTAGTAGTCGTAGTAGGGTTCCATGTTGGCACGTTGATCCCACCTCCTCAACAAAAACAATTCATCTAAACAGTTCATACAATAGCACAGATATAACTAATTTCCCCTGGGCTTGTGTACTACCTCCCTCAAGAATGTTTGGAGCAATGATTTCGATGAGTTTTTATGAGGGCATTTGAAAATGGGTTTCAGGTTAGTTTTCCAGGAATCAGGCAAACCTCAGATGAGGTTAAACAAGGATCTGAACGGGACACAGCAGTTGATTAAAGAACTAAACCGCTAAACAAAGCAAACCTTTATAACACACCCCGCACAAAAATATCACACTTAGACTCATAGCTCAAACAAATGAGCATTAAGTTCAGACAGCTTCAGCGATGCATTAGCACTTTAAGTGAATACTTAGCGCTTGACTCGCAAACCCCAAGGCGATCGCTCAGCGCAACAGAAATGTTGAAAAACAACCTGGACAAGCTGGGAAACAGCCTGGACAAAGGGGAACCATTGGAGTCGTTATGTTCGCTAGCAGGTACGTCAGTTCCGCGTCCGGAACTGATATCCTCACACCGTGTATTGCCAGCTTCGTTGGTGGAGGCACAGGGAGCACTCCTCGGGTACACCCTGTTCTGGCATGAAGCCACAGACACTCCAGATATTGCATACTGAATCGATTGCGGTTTGCCACTCGCCAACTTAAGTACCCATGTTCCTGAGAAATCATGTAAGAGGGCCTGAGCATCCTTGAAAAAGAGGCCCAAACCTCAAAACTACAAAGCGACGAGCGAAAACGACGACGAATGCACATCTGCAGACCCGTATATCATCCTGCAACAGCCTAAGGACTAAACATTCGCAATTCAGGCGCAGGTACGCCAAGTTGATCAGACTCGGAATCCCACAATCATGCCGCGCTCCCCTGGGGCAAGAACAAGTCCAAGAACAAAAACACAAATTCAGCGGAATCACTGTGACTCCAAGGGTGTCACACACACACATTTCTGTGTTCCCTAACGCGAATTATGCAGGGTGTGGGAGTACCTTTGCAAAAACAAACACTATTCCATCCCAATTGACTGATTTGGATTCAACATTGCGCAGCCATATAGTCTTCATATTTGGGACCTTATATAATGATTTGGGATGTGGAACAGGATGTCCTGCTAACAGCAAGAGGCGAACTGCAAGAAGGATCTTGACCTCGCCGCACGGTTTGCGCCCAATGCATAAAGGCCCCTGGTTGGGTAGATTGAACTCGGTGGAGTACACAATTTGTTTGCTGCGGCCCTGACAAGACCAATCGCCTTTCATTGCGTGTATGAGAACTGACACCAGTTTGTCAAAGTGCATGTGACGTGCATTAAAAAGAGTATACTGTCATCACACATCGACCAGTATTTAAATCAAGTCTATTCTGATCTGCAGTGCACAAACCGACAAAACAACACGGTCCCTGCGTTTCTCTGATGCCGTTTCTCTGTATACAGTGACCGAAATGCAATAACTTGCAGACAAAAAACCAGCTTCATCAAAGGCCACGTTCAGTCGGCACAGGTGGCCGGTGTCCACTATGCTACAGTCAGCCGCTTCAAGGCTGCAGAAGTATAGAGTATAGAGTCTCTTCCCACGCAATGTCAACAAAGATACAAACAAACATGTTGCACTGCGGGTCTGGTGTGGGGCGCTACTGTCTCTGCTCGCCATGACCAGAATGACCCTGAAAAGGACGTCAAAACCAGTTGTCCAAACTCT